ACCTTGGGTTAGTCAGTTTGGTCTAATGGTTAAGGCACTAGGATAGAAAGCGAAAGACTGTGAGTTCAAGTTCCACCTTAGTCATGAAAACAAGCTTGATGACCTTGAGTCAGTCACTCTCACTCAGCCCAACTTACCTCACAGGGTTGTTGTGGAGAAAACTGCCTTGAATTATTTGTAAAAATACTTTTAAAAAGGCAGGATACAAGTAAATAAATATTTAAAAAATAAATACGACTGAAAATGAAGTATGTGTAAAATTCTGCTGATGGCAGAAAAAAATCCCAAATTAGCATAGCTATGCATGAGGGAGTACAAGCAATTCCAACTCCTTATCAAAGAGTAGATAGTAAAGGTCTGCCATATGATTCTCTGCAGCCTCTCAACATTTGTAGATCAGTCTCACTTTCTTTCAAACATCAACAATTAGCTAGGGAAAGGGGCACTGATATGTCAGTGCTCTACTTTGCTGTGTGCAACAGCAGTAGCTGGTTCATGAGAAGAAAACAGTATTTGAAAAAAACCAGTTCCCCAAAGTATACAATTGATAGGACAAACAGTAAAAGGGAATAAATTTCAACTATAGTTACTGACTGTGAGCCTCTATATTAAGTGGAACTAGAATCTGATATATGCAACACGAATAGAATAGAATAGAATAGAATAGAATAGAATAGGAATAGAATAGAATAGAATAGAATAGAATAGAATAGAATAGAATAGAATAGAGCTGGAAGGGACCTTGGAGGTCTTCTAGTCCAGCCTGCTGCTCAAGCAAGAGAACCTATACCATTTCAGACAAGTGACTGTCCAGTCTCTTCTTAAAAACTTTCAGTGATGGAGCGCCCACAATTTCTGAAGGCAAGCTATTCCACTGGTTAATTGTCCTCACTGTTAGAAAATTTCTCTTTAATTCCAGGTTGCTTCTCTCTTTCATCAGTTTCCAACTATTGTTTCTTGTACTGCCCTCTGGTGCTTTGGAGAATAGTTTGACACTCTCTTCTTTGTGGCAGCCCCTCAAATACTGGAATAGTGCTATCATGTCGACCCTGTCCTTGGCTGCGCTGCTCCAGGCGGGCCGTGCCTGGGATGACTCTCCTGGGGGGGGGCTGGTGTAGAGGGGGCCGTGGGGGGAGCGGGGCTGGGCAATGGCACGTGTGCCCACAGAGAGGGCTCCAAGTGCCACCTCTGGCACTTGTGCCATAAGTTCGCCACCACTGGTATAGGTGGTACCTCGCTCAATAGCAGTAACCATAAGAGGGATCTTGGAGTCCTAGTGAACAATCACTTAAATATGAGCCAGCAGTGTGCTGCAGTTGCCAAAAAAGCCAACACAGTTCTAGGCTGCATTAACAGAGGGATAGAATCAAGATCATGTGAGGTGTTAATACCAGTGCCTTGGTAAGGCCACACTTGGAATTCTGCATCCAGTTTTGGTCACACAATGTAAAAAAGATGTTGAGACTCTAGAAAGAGTGCAGAGAAGAGCAACAAAGCTGATCAGGAGACTGGAAACTAAAACATATAAAGAATGGTTGCTGGAATTGTGTATGTCCAGTTTAATGAAAAGGAGTAGGAGTGACATGATAGTATATTCCAGTATCTCGGGGGTTGCCACAAAGAAGAGGGAGCCAAGCTATTCTCCAAAACACCTGAGGGCAGGACAAGAAGTAATGGATGGAAACTAATCAAGGAGAGAAGCAATCTAGAACTAAGAAGAAATTTCCTGACGGTTAGAACAATTAATCAGTGGAACAACTTGCCTCCAGAAGTTTGACTGATCCACTAGAGGTTTTAAGAAGAGACTGGATAACCAGTTGTCTGAAATGGTATAGGGTTTTCTGTCTGAGCAGGGGGGTCGGACTAGAAGACCTCTAAGGTCCCTTCCAACTCTGTTATTCTATTATTCTAAAGAACAAAATCTGGAATACTTGAAAATATCTATGTGAAATATAAAAGCTTGACTTTTGATTTTTTGTAAAATGAGTAATTCAGCATCATTCAGTACTGTATTTAATTGTGAAGCCCTTTTGAAAAGAGCTTGCAAATTTTGTTCCTTAAGGAAGCACTGTGCTACGTCACTAATAGTACAACACTGGGAGTAGGTAACAGTCAATAGCAACCCACATATTGTTGACCTACAATGGTGACCAATCCAACAAATATAACTAAAATGCTGGTAGTAGCAGTTCAGCAACATTCAGAATGCCACACATTATCTATACTGTACTGTGCTTTTCACAACATACATTCATTGTAATAAATAAAAATGCTGGAGGATGAAGGTCAAAGGAATAAGACTGAACTGCTGGGGGAGGAGAAAGATTAGGTAAAGGCAAAATATGCTACAGAGAGCCTAGAGTCCTCATTAGGTGTGACATATCGCAAGGAATTCAGAAGCATACATTCTTTGCCAGGGTTTCTCTCCTGTGGGATTACAAGTAGTCTTCGAATTACAACCATTCATTTAGTGACCATTCAAAGTTACAACAGCAATGAAAAAAGTGATTATTGACCATTTTTCACACTTATAATCGTTGCAGCATCCTAATAGTCAGGTGATCAATATTCGGATGCTTGACAACTGGCTCATATTTATGATGGTTGCAGCAAAGTCAATGGGGGAGCCAGATTTACTTAACAATCATGTTACAAACTTAACTAAAGCGATTCACTTAACAACTGTGGCAAGAAAGGTCATAAAATGGTGTAAAATTTACTTAACATCTGTCTCACTTAGTAAGAGAATTTTTGGCTCAATTGTAGTTGTAAGTCAAGGACTACCTGTAGTTACCTGGGAAATAAAATCCCCATTCTTACTGTTAATATTCAGAAAAGTTACTAAAACTACAGTACTTGGGATATATGAGGGCTGCTTCTTTTATTTTGTTAACTGTTACTATTGTTATCAATTATCTATGGGTGTGGGGTGTGTGTATTGTTCAAGAGTATTGTTGTCAATAAGGGCATATTGCTTACATGCACTTTAATTGGTATGAAAGCACTTATAATAAATAAATAACAGTGTAAGATCCAGGAACATAATTTATGCATGGATGAATTAAATGATGAGGTACAAACAGAAATGAAGTCATGAAGTCTGTGCAAGACAGAGAACAGGAAATAACTTAGTTACCATGACAATACAGGTGTTTCTCTACTTTCATATTAAAGAAAGCAAGTTCAGCACTGCTTAAGTTTAAGGAAATTCCATTAGATAAAATGTTGAAATGTTTCTATGTTGCTAAGTGAATTCTTTTAAAAATACAAGCATCCAAAGAATGGTGGCCAGTGTATAGACGTAATCACACATCATATTAATCTAAAATATCCGCTGCATTAGGTAAGCATTTCGCAATACAAATGTACAAGGTGACTTGTACAGAAGAATTAAAAGCATTGTTCTATTCTACAAAAGCAAACCAAAATCAAATTGCACAAATATTGGAGTTTCAGGGAAAGGCAGCCAAGAAACCTAAAGAACTATCCTGTTTACTAAAATCCATTGTTAAATATTACTTGTAATAAGAACGTAAGTTCTCCAAAGATTGCACCCTTGCCTATAATATTTCCTCAGATAATGACAATTTATGTACCTGTGCCAAATTTAACTTGAAAAATGCATTTTGAGCAGGCATTATCACAATAAAATTTTAACTGCTAATCTAAAACAGTTTTCAGTTTGTAACCTGTGATATGAGGAAAAAATACAAACATAATCAACCTGTATTTAAAATAAACTAACAAGTGTTTTACTCCAAAATAACCAGATTCAGCTGTCTATATGCTTACTTAAAAGTCTTTATAGAGAGATAAATTTAAATACTAAACAGACTGCATAGATGGATACACAAAAATATTTTCTTTCTTGAAGCTGACCTATTTATTAAAAAATAATTCTAACATATTAGATATTATCAGAAGGCTTCCATTAACAACTGAAGATCAACTACAGTCAAATGCAAATTTCATCTGTTATCTTGGAAACAGGTATGTGATAAATCTCTACTCAATAACAGGCATCATAGTTCTGTTTTGTCCAGGGAAAAAACAGCTTTTAAAATTCTTGACTCATCATCTCTCATATCAGACTTGCACACACTCACAACTAGTTAAAAATATAACAGCACCAGCAGTTAGGTGTGGCTTTAAGATTATTTTTAAAGTTTTTCTTTTTAAACAGAGTTTTAATAAACATTTATCCATTGAGCTTTCCAATAAAATATTTTTTCAATACTTTGAAAGAACCTCTTAAAATTAACTTTAAAAATGCAGTATATTTAAACAAAGTCTATATTTTGTTGAAGTATATACATTAAGGATAGTATTTTGAACAGATTGTTTTCAATGTTTATCTCCACACAGAAGTAATCAGTGTAGAAATCAATTGGGTTGTCAAAATTTATTTTAAAAATAAATGTACTCATTAAACTCTTCAGCAGGAGCTGACCTTGGATACTTTCACAAAACCAGTTCTTATTTCACATACTGAATTATTTCCTTGAGAATATTTTTAAGTGTCTAAAAGATCCTGATATACTTCCTACTGATCCTAATCTGAGATTTCTAAAAAGGAATAAAAACCCTGTTGTGTGCACTTTCTTAAATCATGCTTCTATGGAAATTAGAGTACAGTACATAGAAAGGGGTGGTAATATTGGGGATCAGCCAGGTAATATAGTCCTCAGCTTACAGTAGTTTGTTTAGTGACTACTCAGTTACGATGCACTGAAAAAAGTGACTTATGACGGTTTTTCTCGCTTACAACCATTGCAGCATCCCCATAGTCACATGATTAAAATTCAGACATTTGGCAACTGACTCATATTTAGGATGGTTGCAATGTCCTGGGGTCAAATGATCCTCTTCTGCAACCTTCTGACAAGCAAAATACATGGGGAATCCAGATTCACTTAACAACTGTGTCACTAACTTAATAACTGCAGTGATTCACTTAACAACTGTGGCAAGGAATGTTGTAAAATGAGGCAAAAGTCACTTAACAAATGTCTCACTTAGCCACAGAAATTTTGGGCTTAATTGTGTTGTAGGTCGAGGACTACCTGTATTGGAAAAAGTGCAGGGGAGGGAGTCAGGAAGTGCTAGTTGGGGAATCACTGAAAGGAAACACAAGGTTGATCCGGGGATTGCAGTGGCTGGACAAGGCCTGTAACAAGAACGGCAATGCCTCCAAAGCGAAGGAAGGAAAAACCGGGGGAATTGGGGGCGGGGTGCGTGGAGAATCACGACCACGGGCCAGTGAAGGAAGTGATAAAGCCAGGGCACCGAGCCCTTCTCTTACAACACGAAATCCTTTCTTCACCGGGTGGAAATGACTACGACTGGCAATTTTGCAGGCATTAAGGACGTGGAGTCAGGTAGAAGTCGATTAATTGCCTCCCGAGAACGACCGAGACCCCCACAGAGGCAGGTCACTTTTTAATCAAAAAGGTAATTCTAGCTAAATCCAGACCTCTCCTCCACCCCAACGCGCCGGCACACTGTAGGCGAAGGAAAGGGGGACCTCTTTCCTGGGAAGCCGCCGGGTCTCTCACCTCGGGAAGGGGCGGAGTTTCCCCTCGGCGAGGATGGAGGCGTCCGCAGGACTTAAGATGGGGGGGGGGGGTTGGGGCATGTATGCATGTTGAAGTGGGGGGGCGGCGGCTGGGGAAGGGGCCAGCAACAACATAACCTCTCCGCCTCCCGGAGCGGAAAAAAGCGGGGAGGGGGGGTAGGTCAGAGAAAACAATCTTTCTCGTATTTCTCACCTCAGTGGGGGGACTGATCTCAAACAGGTCCAGCCGGTTCGCGTTCCAGTGGTTAATGATATCGGCTAGTTTGCGCCGTTCCTCCTCGCGGCTACCTCCTCCACCACCACCACCGCCCGACATCCTTCTCGGCCGTCCTCCGGGTTTCTCGCAGCCACCAACACGACGGGAGGGCCCGTGACGGCCCGGGCACGGAGTTCCCGGTGAATATGTGTTTTTTTCCTGCCCCCCAAAAAAGCCGGATGGCGGGGTACGTGTGTGTGGAGGAGGGCAGGCAGTCCTCTGGTGCCGCTCCTCGCCGAGCAAATCCTCCTTGTTCTCGAAGCCCAGACTTTGCCCCTTCGCTTCAGCGCAGGCACCGAGCGGCTCTAGGTTTGGTGGCAGCGCTTCCTGTTCGGCAGCGTCTCTCCTTTGCCTCACGGAATAACGCCGCCGCCTCTCTCCCCGCCCCGGTTGTCTCCTTTCCTTCCTCCCCGCCTTTTCTCAGAGAGAGAGAGAGACAGAGAGAGACACCGTTTCGTGCGCGCGGCCGCTCCGCCGTTCTATCACGAACGCGTCACAAACGCCGCTCACCTCCTCTCCCCCTCCCCCCGCTCGGTCCTTTGCGCGCGCACTTCCAGGAAAGCATCCGCGCGCCGATGTCAGGTCAAGAGCGGGCGAGGGCGCGCTGGGAAAGCAGCTGAACGCGAAGCGGTCCCACCTCCTTCCCTCCCAAAGCGTCTGGCTGTGTGTCTATGTAAGAGGAGAAATTAGCACTTGAGGGCGTTGAGTTTGAATCCGCGTGGACAGGGAGAGTCGCGCGGAAGCCAGGCAAAGCTGCAGGAACAATGAAGGGAGGCGACTGAAAGGGGCTGGGTCTGCATGGAGGACGAGGTTGCGGATAAGAAGCGCTGGGAGTTAACGTTCGGGTTTATTTTGTTTTCAGTTGCTCAGTTTTAAAAACCCGAAAGGGCGGCTACAAACAACCTGCGATGAGTCGCCGAAGAGTAAAACACCCACAATGCTGAGAACAGGACGTGCTAGACCCGTCTTTATAAGTAGTCTTTTCACTGTGCTGGAACCTTGTTCGGAACTGGGCAAGTCTCCATATCCTATTTCCATTTTTCTACAAGAAAAGTCTGGTTTGGAATAGACCATGGAATGAATTTTCTTGGCAACAATCCTCACTACACCTGTCCGATTAATCTGGTTGAATTTAGTGAGGTCTTTGCTGAATGCATGCTTTTAATATCACAGGATTAAATTCCATTGAACTCGAATAGATCGGGGAACTTTTGACCGTCATTGATGTTACTTTTTCTCTTGAGCAAGCCTATCCTTCCTAAAACAGCAGAAAGAATTTCAGAGAAAATATAAAAATTATCCTACGGTACATGAAAAAAATATGCAATTTTGGATTATTATAATGTGTAGTTCCCATTTCTGTAAAATGGGGGTAATACAACTTTACTTTATTATGTGAGTAAATGAGCTCAGTCTACAAAGTGGAAAATACTCCAGATTTCCTAATATACATGGAATAAACTGATAGGGTATTTCAAGTTGATTAATTTCAAAAAGCTTACCGTGGAAAACAAAGTTAAGCAGCAGGTGCCTTGGGCCAAAAAAAAAAAACCTGAATAAAGTTTTATGTTCACAGATGCACAAGCAATATAATATAAAAAGCAGCTGAGGAACTGACTTGTTTGAAGTAACATGCTTATCCATTAGGGAACTAAAAGATGAGGATGTATGTAAGCAAGATGATGTACATGCCCACCCTCTAGGCAGGTTTGTAGAATGACTTGTCTCCTTGAATAGTAAAAGAGTAGAGAAATCTATAGTCACTTGTACACAACTTAATTATTTACATTTGTTTAAAGAGGGTGGATTGAAAGTCCAAATGATTAAATTGCTTACTAGAGTAATCAGTTGGACCATCACTGCACAGATGGTATGTTTAAGTTAACTATGATCCTTTCTAAGAAGTATGACTTGGAATTCTGAGTTCCAGTCACTTCTGTCATTATTCTGAGCCTATATCTTTAAATATTCAGTAATTAAAGTCTGTTGATATAAAGGCAGGTTAAACAAATGCCAACTCATTCATTAATTTGATTATTTGATTGTTATCAAATTAATAAAATGGTTATACAAATATAGAAAAGTTAATGGATTTTTCTAAGCAAAAACAAAAAACAAAACTGGCCAAATGCCAGTAATGCTTGTATTTCCAAAGAGTTCCATCTGTGCACCAATTGTTCATCAATTAATAATGAATTTAATTCTATTTTATTGAAACTTGGAGAAATGTATATGTTTTTTCCAGTGTTCTACATTTTTTCCTGTAAATTTATGTTGCAATTATAAACTTTAAAATTACGTGTTCCGGGTGTGGAGATCTATAATGCATTGATATTGGAAAGCTTAAAAATAATTTTTGAAAGGTAAAACTGTCAAAAGTTAACATTTTTTACTTTTTATCCTGAAAGCTTTTTACACACTCGGTGAAGTGCAAGGAATTCATTTATGGATGCACAGAATTTATTTCCATTTTCTTGATAATTGTTCTTTTGTCTTCTGTTAAGGTTGTGCTTCTGATAGTGACCCATTTCTTTTCCATAAAATAAATGCTAGGTCATCATCTTAAAAAGACTTTTCATAGATCCCCTCCTATACTGGAGTGTAAAACTAGACAGATTTCTTTTAAAAAAAATTGGGCAAAGTAGCTACAAAGATCTGATACCAAGATGAACATCCAACAATTGAAAGAAGATGTGTTTGACAGGGTAGCATAGAAACCACTTACCTATAACATCGCTAAGAGTCATAAATGGTTAAAAAAAAAATAACAGTGGCAAAGGTACCTCACCAGTGAATCTTCTACCTTCTTTCTCATCCAAATGTATTTGAAGATGTTAGGGTTTTATTTAGTGGTATCAAAACAGGTAATATTCAGTATTGTTTTGACTGCATTGTTGCTTGATATGATTAAGTGTTTTCACTGTATTTTTAATCATATGTAAGATACATCAAACTCTCTCTGACTCAAAGCTGAATAAATTGGTTCCACTGCAACCCTCCACATGAGTCAGGGCAGGGGAGAGTTTTGCCTGAGGGCTGTGCATAAGAACTTGGCATGTGCCTTTGAAGAGGCCACAACAAGGTATTTACCATGTATTTTCACATACGCAGCCAGAATGAGAGTTCAAATGAATCACATTCATATAATAGCTAGATACCTACGCTGTTATCAGCATACGCTACTACTAGTTCCAGCTAAATGCTAGTGGTGTGCACCTTATCTTTGTATTTACCCTTGTTATGACTATATTTTCTCTCAGATTCCTGGAAAGTAAGGAAAATCTAAGCTTAGAAATGACAACTTTGCACATGATGGCAATCAGAACAAGGAGGAAAAGGCAAGGCCTTACTACTTTAAATGCAACAGAGAAAAGATTCTTATATTCACTATTGCTTGATAGTCTGTATTGATTTGCTCAAATCCCATAAGAGTTCCTTGTGATCTAATTAATTTCCTCTTTTCAATTGTACAGGAAAATTAAATGTTTGCTGAAACTACTAAGTAGTTAAAATTGTATTTGATCTGGGATGAGATTAGTCAGAAATCCTTTACCAATGAATGTATTCTAATTATATTTTAAACCTTTAGTAACAGTTCTGCAAATAAAGTCACTCTTAGATACTGAGATGTTTTTCACTTTGTCTCTTTTATTTTTCTTAAAATGAATGTTCAAATAATTAATAGGACATTATCAAAGGAAGAGCATAGTTGTGCTTTATCTTTTAACCCTAGTTATCTACTTATACATTGACAGGAATTGAATGGTAATAGGAAATTATATTGATAGACATTAGTAGCATCTACAGTAATAGACTCTTGCAGCAATTTTGCCTATAATAAAATAATCTATTAGAGCTATGCTATCTTAAAAACACCTGTATTTGTTTCAGTGCTGAGGAAAGGGTTCTACAATAAAGGTAGAATTTCATAAAATGTATCTAGATACCTCCCCCCAAAATGATGAAGTAACAATATTTATTGTTAAAACGAGCATGCTCCAACATACTGAAAAGCTCTAAGTTGATCAATTGTAATCAATCACAACCACTTAAAACCACCATTCCCTTCAGGTTTTTTGGTGAGCAGTGGCTGGGGCGGGGGAGGGAGGGAGCTACATAGCTTTTTGGAACAAAATGGTATATGGCAGGGGTGTCAAATGCCGGCCCGCGGGCCGGTTTCATCACACCGGAGCCACGCCCACCCCATTGCCGGCAATGGCAAAAAAGATCCGATACGTTGCGTGACGTCACATGACGTCGCGAGTTTGACATGTCTGGTATATGATATGGAGGATTCTAACAGATAAAATTACGGGGGGGGGGAACCCTGATTTATTCACAGAGATGGTTGAATTTTCTTTGAACAATTGTGGTTTCTACAATAAAAACTCAGAGGAAGTATTAATAACTGTGTTAGAAAGTTCAATTCAAATAATAGATGTATCTGAAATTATTAAAACCAATACAAACACAAGCCAAGGAGCTGTCATTATTATTTACACATGTATTTATTTAATCAATTATTCCAGTATGTTTTTAATAAACACTATTTTTTATAGGCCAGGTAGAATCATATTTAAAATACTGTTATCTTTAGCCAGAGGTATTGGATTTGTAGAATACAGTATGTATTGTTTTTTTCTCCTTGTTGAGAAAAATGTGATGGATTGATTGTGGGTAAAATGACCTACTTTCTGGACCACTAACTGGTCCAAAATGCAGATTTTAAAAAACTCTAGCACTCAGGAACATACTTTCTTTGCCATTTAAGTCATGATGCAAATTTTTTTCTCAGTCTAAATCAGACTAAATGTTGTAAGAGAGGAATGCTGATATGTAGAATTTTAGCTGACATCAAAATTTAGGTGTCTGGATCACTGAATTATAGGCCTTTAATACTATATTCTAAATCTACCTTTGCAAAACAAAACAGAAAAGAGCAGAAAAAACCATACCAGTTGTGAAACAGGTTTTTCTGGAATAAATTTAGCAGTATGCCTAAAATAGCTTACAAATTCTTAATTGCTTTGTTCAGTGCCAGTATACTTAGGTCTGTGGTTCTTTCACATCGTATATAATATAGGTAGTGATAGGATATCAGTTTGTTGATATTGGTGGCTTTACTGAATGCCAGCTATTCTTTTTTTCTTCTTTTCTTTCAGTAAATATAAATGTTACCATCAAATTCTCCTTTTTCACCAGATTCTGAACTTTTTCTGATATATAGTAGTTTCTAGAGCATTTTCTTATCCATATTTGGCAATACAATTTCCTCTCCTTTCATCTTTACCTTTTCCTATCATATGAGACAAAAATAGATCTCTGGGAGAGTCTCTGAATGATTGGCACTGCTTTGGGAAATTATTTCTATATTACAAAGTAAACCTAGCCCAGCAATAGAAATTAATTTTATATAGTCTTTAAAAAAATAAGTTTTTATTTTAAGTAGGACTCCAAATTTAGATTATGTTGATTCAGAAATGTTATTGGGGCAGAATAATTGAATATAATTAAATTATCCTTTCTTTGAACTGTTCCTACATAATTACCAAAAGCTTATGCTTATTTATTGTAAAATAAGCCTAATTGAAAACAGTGAGATTTACTTCTGAGTAGGCATAAGATTTTATTATTTTCCCCTATTAAAAGAAAGAAAAATCTGCACGTTCATTTGCGGAATGATTCCAGAGTTTGTAAATCAATGCCATCCAAATGTGCAACGAGGCTCACATTTATTGAGCAAAATAACTTTGTTGTATACTCAAGCTGTAGCATTAATATCATTGCTCTAAACAACTTGTGGTGAGAAGTTAAATATATATATTCATGCTTTTCAAATTGCACACTAATAGATACCAGATAAATCAGTAAACTCTAAAAATAAGCCATGAATAGCAGATTGAGTATTAACTAAAAAAAAAAAAAAAACCACCCTCATAAATATGTAAGCACTATTCCTACAGATACCAAACCGATTGTCTAAAAGCCCATTCCTATCTGATATACATCGGAGGCAAATATTTTTTGCACCACAATCAAGAAAGTGAGAATTTAAAAATCATTTACTCTCTCATTTAAAGAAATCTAAACAAGTTATAAAAGATAAATTATTTTGAGATTGAAACAAAGAAATCCCTCAGCCATCTCTCCTTACTCAAAAGTAAACATTCTCTAGTCTTTTTTTCAGATTATATAAGTCTTTCATTTTACCTCAAGATCATAAATATTCCACAAAATCACTAACATTAGTTACTAGTTTTCCATAATTCAAAAAAAAATTTTTTTGCTGCCTAAAGATGGTGGCTCATCCTGTAATGGACTAATGAACAGTTATAGCATTCATCACTTGGAATCAATAGTGAGTTATTGGAGATTATAGGAATTCTAATGCCACATCTAGAAGTACCAAATTGTGGAATTTTTCCTAACATCCACTTAGTAGAAGCACAATTTTTGTACACCATAAAATCTGCCTTCTTACTGTTAACAACCGAGTATAGGGATGTATTAAAATATTTGATCAAATATATTTGTGCTCTTTACAAATATCTGGGGACAGAGGCCAAGGCATCTCTTTGTTCTTGGAGGCAAGGATTCCCAGGGTTCCTTTCTTTGTTTAAAAAAAGCCTACACTTACTTGAAAAATATATTGTTACTAAGGGGTGTGGTAATTTTGGAAGATTAGATGCAGTAGTCTTCTAAAATAAATGACCTAGTAATCCAAGTCTGTCTTAACAAAAATAAGACATTATTTCATTCCACATGGTAATTTACATTACCATATCTTTCCTTCCTTCCTAAGATTTATAACTCTGCCCATCTTATGCAATATAATCATGAGCAGCTCATAATAAATATGGGGGGAAAAGAAAAATCAACATAGAAACTTCCGGTGCTCCCAAACACAACACATCCCCATGTATCCTCCAACAACTTTACTTGTCTTCAGTCTCATGCAACCCCAAAACATGGAAAAAGCCAGATCATCAAGGATTTTCAGAAGGCTAGGAAGGTAGGAGATCTTGGGAAAATGCAGAGACCACTATTGGAAAGCTGTGGTGCCTAGTTCTCACTAAATGATAGTTTTTAAGAAAAGGAAACTAGAGAGGACCTACCCTATCAGACCTAGTGGAACAAGCAGATATGCCCAGGGAGAGACAGTCCTGCAAATAATTTGCCCTGTGCTATTCAGTCTTTAAAAATGATAACTAGAATCTTGAATAGTATCTGGAAAGAAACTGAAAGTCAATGCAGCTCACAAAGCAGTGGTGTAACATGAGTGAAGCCTGAGGCATCCAAACCTGAATGCCACCACATTTCTGGATTGTCTTCAAAGCCAACTCCATGCAGAGGTGCCAACTTTTCCCCCCAACACATTCTGTCCTCTCAAGGAGATATGCAGGAATGGTGTTCTCACAATCTGTGCATTTCTTGAAAGGATGAGTGTGACTATACTAAGAAAATAATTTGGGGCTTAATTAAATTGAACCATGTCTCCGCAGACTTCAGACTTCTCCCTGAATTTCATGCCAGTGCCAGGTTTTACATATATAGTATGTGAAGCAACAAGAAGACAATACTTTTCGCTTGTTTTTGTGTAATCATGGCCAAACAATTCCTAGAAATCTTGGATTAAGGGGATGGATTAAAGCTCAAAAACAAGGGCTGGAAAATATTCTCAGTTAAGAATTGTATCAGTCTTAAAAACTAGGTTTTCAGATATTCACTGAGGAGTCATTGAAAGCAATATAACCACTTGAAGTAGTTCTGTTCTCTTGAGGCACCATAGTAATTACCTATGAATTTTTGAGCAATAAGTGTCAGTTTGAAGAATTGGATTTTAAATATATTGGATGGTTATTATTATTCATGGAGCAACTCAGTGGTTAAGACACGGGGTTTGTTAGCTTGAAAGCTGCCAACGCAGTTCAAGAACTGAGCTCCATACGACAGGATGAGCTTCTGTATTTGCTCCAGCTCCTGCCAACCCAGCAGTTTGAAAGCATACAAATGCAAGTAGATAAATAGATACCACTTTGGTGGGAAGGTAATGGTACTCTGTGATGTCTTACTGGCCACATGATCACGGAAATGTCTTTGGACAGCGCTGGTGCAATCGTCTTGAAAGGGAGATGAGCACCGCCCCCTATTGTTCGCCCAAGTAGTGGAGTAAAATCCGCAGAGATTCCTTTGCCTTTATCTCTTTTATTATTATTTATAGGATGCAGATTTGACTCTAGAATCTGGTATTTTAGGAGAAAAGAGTACTAAAGAAGGAATCACAAAATTAATAGAGTTAGAAGGGCTCTATGAATCCAACTCCTTGCTCAAGGGAATTCCAATGTAAAGCCATCCCAACAGAAAGTTGTTTGTCTTCTGCTAGGAAACACTTAGTGAAATTTACTGTCTCCTATGATAATTGGCTTCACTATCAAACTATGAGGTTTTAACACTGAGCGGGAATCTGCCTTCTTGTAATTTAAAGCCACAATTCTATATTTTCACTCTGGCATGCTTCAATATGTCATCCCTTCAACTATTTGAATAGTGCTAGTGTCCTTCTTAGTCATTTTCTTTTCCTGAATATTAATTGCACCCAGTTCCTTCACTCTCTCCTGATAAAGCT